GGGTTCATGGTAACCCCAAGTACAGGTAGCCTAAAAGCCTCTCATTCCCACCCTTCATGAGAACATGAGGCAGGCAGCGTCGTCTTCTGCAGTCACATCTTAGGGCTTCTTTCGTGGCTCAGATGGTAAAGAACCTGCCAGCAATGCAGGAGATGCAGATTCCACCCCTGGGTTGGGAAGATCCCTGGAGAAGGAAATGCTAACCCACTCCAGTATTCTTGCCTGGAGAATCCCATGGACAGAGCAGCCTGGTGGGCTACAGTCCCTGGGTCACAACGAGTCAGACACGACTGAGCAGCTAATACACACACACACACATAACTCCAGTTAAGTGGCCATCTCTTAGAACCCCTCACTAAAAAGATATGGAAGTGAGGCCTACAGAGTTTTAATAACTTGTCCAAAATAGGTCATTTTTAAGGACCAGTTTCCTGAACTTTCTAAAAGCCGTCAGGTATGTAAAACTCTCAACATACTCTGCTGGTCAACATCATCTTTATAGACGAGTAACGAAGAGAGTCATAAAAATATGCTTTAAAATTAAATTTTATTTTTTTTTTAGGCTTCTGTACTTTGTACTTTAATTACAATCTCCTACCCCTAGAGTTAGAAGGGCTAAAGAAAGAATGGGCATTCAGCCTAAACCTTAAAACTGACTAACTATGCCTTCCACAATTTCTAGTATTATGTAACACTGCACCCAAGAAATTCACAAATGCTTTTCATGAGCCTTTCTATATAGGTGTCGGGGTCTTTATTTCTAGATTTAATTTCCAGGCATGACAAGATCTTAGATCCAGTTTTCAGTCTCTAAGAAAAATGAGTTTTCCTTTGCTATTCACTCTCACCTGCCGTTCTTTAGCTTAACCAACACATACAAAAAGCTCCGAGATTTTCTGGGGCCTCTTGCTGGACATCTACTCCCTACCCCGTTCCTGTTTCCCGTTTGCTTCCCAGTAGGGTTTCCAGCTCTGACCCTTTCTTTCATATGGTTTCCCTTATACCTCTGAGCCCTTTTGTGATGTTTCTGGACTTTATTACCACATTGTTACTTGTTTATTCTTTTCTTTACTGCCTGTTCCCTCAGGGAGCAGCTACAAATTCAAGCCTTGGCCCTCATGTTTTGGTAGAGATTTTATATTTTTAATAATTAGTGAATACATTCCAAAACAAGACAAACAGATCTGACTTCCCCCATCATTTTTGCCCTAAGATTGAACATCAGAATTGATTGGCAATCAACCAAAGTCAAATGCAATCTGCTTTTCACAGGGTTTTATTCATCCATCTGTCCTTAACACAGCTTCAAACACTCATGATTTTTGAAAACCAATGTTCAGAGGTGTGTCTGTGTTTAGCAGTTTTTGTTTGTTTTTTTACAAGAATCCTTGTAAACCTACACTTTGGGTTGATAAGTTTCAGGCTAGCTCATTGAGCTAAGAAGATCCAATTTGGGGAAGCTTGGCATTGATAAAGCAGGGAGGTGCCTGAGAGGGCTCTGAAATTGCAAAGTTTGTGTTCAACATTTGACTTTCACTCAAATTGGCAGTCTCTTTCCAAAATGAGCATTATTTTCTCATCTTTAAAGTATGTTGAGTTTAGTCAGTTTGAACACTAAGCCAATTGTCAGGAAAGTTCTCAAGGATTAGGAAGAAAAAGTCAAGCCATCTTATTCAACCTGGGGCCACAACCTCCAGGAGTACTGGTGAATAATGGTATGGCTTCCCTTCATTTTAACCCACTTCTGGCTGTGTTAATACTATGCCAAGATAATTGGCTAAAAAAGGACAATTTTGAGTCAAGCTACCAAAGTATTTTGACTACACTATGCTGGGGGGGGAGAAAAGTTTATTTGATTGAAATGTTTTGCTGATAGGTAAATATTACTCTTTCTGGAATGCATGATTATAACTTTTCCAATCTGGAAAATGCATCTCTGACACCCCTCCCTGCTTCTAGGTTATGAGCACATAAAGCACATTGTCTGGGGAGTGGCTTACAAGAGGGGGAAAAAATGCGGCACCACACAGGTTCTCATAAGTGACTACTGAGTTGACTTGAACCTAGAGCCCCTTTTACGTGGGTCTGAACGTTTCCCAATTCAGTCTGCTTAGTTATTGAAACGACTGCTACCATTTGCTGAGGATCCTCGCCTTCTGCATTGTCTTATTGATTTCCTTTTGGACATTAAATACTTACACTTGGAGGAATATTTTTTTCTTTTCACTTTTGCCCACACAGCACATGGCTTTCAGGATCTCAGTTCCCCTAACCAGGGGCTGAGCCACGGCCACAGCAGTAAAAGCACTGAATCCTAACCACTAGACTACCAAGGAACTTCCTGAAGGAATCTATCTTTTAAGTAAAGGGACCCAGCAGCTCCCAATAGGAGGCAAAATGGTCTTCCAACTGCCTCTTGGCCATTTCCGTGGGATATCTTGACCCACACATGGCTCCTCAATGCCTATATAGGAGGACCTGGTTTGAAGGTTTGAGGCTGTATTCATATATGTGAAATGCACAAACATCCATTATCTACACCAAGGGAGAGAAGATTATGGAAGTCCCCAATCCCATCACCCCACTCCTTAGCAGTGCCATCATCCAGACTTCACTGAAAATTCAGCACATTAAAAAAACAGGCTCAGTATTTTCTCCTTAAAAGCAGCTCCTTGCACACCCTTTCCAACTTCTCCACCTGTTTTAAGCAATATTTTCCTTGTCGGGTTAAAAACTATCTTTTTAAAATTTTCATCAGCTTTCACTCTCCCCATACCCAATTAATCAAGTCCTGTCAATTCTTCCTTAATAAATGCCTCAGGAAGTTTCCTCCATTCTTTTGCATTCCAGAAGAACAGAAATGGATGAGGATCTAGCTCTCTAGTCTGGATGGGGAGATGAGAAATACACAGTATACAGGTGAAAAAGCTTTTCTAGAAATAATTTTTTAAATGCAAAAATACATGGCCCCAAACAAGCCTTATATACAGACCCCGAGGCATCGGCTAGCACTGTCTTTGTCTCCCAGCAATCCAGAGCAGTTGGAGGTCCTTCTCGCTGTTGAGGGGCTGTGGTGAGGCCTTTGGGAGTTCAGTTCAGGCCACTCTGACTCTAGCCACCCCTCCACTATGAAGCAGGAAGCCTTCACTTTCAAGTTAGCTAGTCTCCATTCAGAGCACAGCAAGGTATGTATCCAATCTGAAGCAGTGGTGGCACAATTTATCAGGAGTATTTCACTGTAATTTAAAATGTTATATGTTTATATTTCACCTCCACCTGGACAGAAGCTCATTCTTCTGTATTCTCACTGCCCTCCCACTCCCCATAGTAACCAACACTGGGTTCTGCAGTTTGTAGTGTATAAATACAATGTTTAAGTCACAGAGCCTTAGAATTTTAAAGTCAGGGGGAATCTTAAGAGCTCCTCTTGTCTTGTCCTTTACTCTCCATAGACGAAGAAACAGATCTAGAGAGACCGGCTGACTTGCCCAAGTCACCCAGCTGGCTAGTGGCAAAGCAAGAACCAGAACCCAGGTTTCTCCTGCTTTAAGTCTGCACCCTAAATGATCCTTAGATAACCAGTGACAGAAATATCTGACTTTACACAAGGTCTCCGAGCGATGGTGGCGATAGGGGGTAATTTGCTTTATTGAAACATTTACAAAGATTCCATTCATCGCCTCGCAGGACCGTCCTGGACGAACTCAACTCGGTGTTGAGCAGTCACAAGTTACGTGCCGTACTTTATGAGTCTGTCGGTCCTAATCGCGGTTCTTCTGACAGGAGCGCGCCCCCGCGCCCCCCGCCGCCCCTCACACTGGGGCTCCCCCTCCCGGCCCTTCCCAGGCTGCCGACTGTCACACGGCGGCCGAACGGCCCGCCCCACGTGGACCTGGCTAGGAGGATCAAAGTCTGTTTGCTGCCTGGCCCCCGGCAGGTGTGAGGGGGGCTGCTAGGACCCGCAGCGCCCGGGCAAGAGGCCCGCCACGCCGAGGGGACCCGGCTTGCCCCGCCCTGCCCCTCCCCCTCCTGCTGCACGCGGCCCGCGCCCCCTACCCTCCCCCACGACGCCTGTCGCTGCACCCGGCCGCGGCCCCCGGCCCACGCCCGGCTCCTGAAGGGAAAGGCCCCGCCCCCATCTGTTGAAGCCGCGACACCGCCTCCTCCCCGCCCCTCTGAGCCTCTGCCCAATAGCGAGCGCGGGTGGGCGGGACGTGGCGGCTGTCGTGAGGGGGTCCTGGCCAATGGGAAGGCGTGCCGGGCATGGTGGGCGGGGCGGCGAGGCCTTGTCACGCTCGGGTCCGTGTGAAAACGGGGGTTCCGAGTGCAAAGCAAAGTTTTTTTGTAAACCGTCTGCAAAGGCGGGGGGGGCGGCGGGTGGCGAAGAAGGCGCCCGACACCGGGCCGAGTGCAGCAGCCGTGGCCGCCGCCTCTTTAGCTCTTCAGGCGTCGGCTCCTCGGTCCGAGCCACACCGGAGGAAGACCGCCTGAGGGGAAGACCTGCGCGGAGAACCCGCAGATGCTTGGAGCGTCCTCAGCGCTGAGCTGCCGGTCGCCCGCCCCCGCCGCCGCCCTCCCGCCCGCTCGCTCCTGCTCCGGCTCTCTGTCGGCGGGTTTCGGGAGCCCCAGCTCCCTGCCGCCTCCGCCGCCGCCCCGCTGTGGGTGTGTGGGGGCTGCTGGAGCTGAGCCGGGCCTCGGAGCCGGCTCCGAGAACGGACGCCTGAGGAGGAGCTGCGCGCCGCCAGCCGGCCGGGGTCGCCCGCAGGCGCGGGGGTTCGGCGGCTAGACCCCGGGCTCGCCCGCCCCTGTCCGGTCACCGAGGCCCCGCGGCACACTCCCGAGCCCCGCGCCGCCCGCCCTCCCTCCCTCCGTCGCCGGCTCCTCGGCGCCTCGCCGCCTCCTCAGGAGTGTCCGGGCCGCGCTCGGGCGGGCTCCTCAGCCGCAGCCATGGGGTGCTGGGGTCGGAACCGGGGCCGGCTGCTCTGCATGCTGTTACTGACCTTCATGTTCATGGTCCTGGAGGTGGTGGTGAGCCGGGTGACCACGTCCCTGGCGATGCTCTCCGACTCCTTCCACATGCTGTCGGACGTGCTGGCGCTGGTGGTGGCGCTGGTGGCCGAGCGCTTCGCCCGGCGGACCCACGCCACCCAGAAGAACACCTTCGGCTGGATCCGGGCCGAGGTGATGGGGGCTCTGGTGAACGCCATCTTCCTGACCGGCCTCTGCTTCGCCATCCTGCTGGAGGCCATCGAGCGCTTCATCGAGCCGCACGAGATGCAGCAGCCGCTGGTGGTCTTCGGGGTCGGCGTGGCGGGGCTGGTGGTCAACGTGCTGGGGCTGTGTCTCTTTCACCACCACAGCGGCTTTGGCGACGACTCCAGCCACAGCCACTCGCATGGGGGGCACAGCCACGGCCTCGCCAAGGGGGCCCGCAGCAAAAGCAGCCGCTCCGGGGGTAGCGACAACGCCGTGACGCCGGGCGAGCAGGGTCCCGACCAGGAGGAGACCAACATCCTGGTGGCCAACAGCAGCAACTCCAACGGGCTGAAATTGGACCAGACAGGTGAGGAGAGAAAAGTCGCCGCCGCAGGTGGTTGGCCCTGGGGAGCCCGGACCCCGGGATGGTCACGGGCGGGGTGGCCCGCACGCCCCCTGGCGCCCGAGCCGGCCGCGCCGCGCCGCCTCGGGGCCGCTCCTTCCTGGGCCGGCTCCCGCACCCGCACCTGCGGAGAAGCCGCCGAAACAAACGCCCCCCTCTCCCGCACCCCCCGCTTTCAGCCGGGTGTTAGCAGCCGGGGAAGTGCGTCCCCCGCTCCCGGTATGGGGGTGTAGATGAGAGCGGGCAAAAGATCAAGAGGTGACCCTCAGCCCGCTGCGGTCCGCAACTGCACTTGGCAGCCTTTTACGGGCTGTCGTTCCAAGAGACTGTCTGATTTTGGCGTTAGCGGGATCAGCAATGCTTCCTAATTAAATTTCTTGACCCTCTTGGAAAACCGGAGAGAATCCCCTGTTGGTCCTTAGTTGTTGGATGTTTGGAACCTTGCAAACATCTACTCTGCCCAAGTAGTACTTTTGCCCTTCAAACAAGTTTCTTAATGTTGTATTCAGAGCGATCTTAGTGACTGAATTTCCTGAACTCAAAATCTTGGTTAAAGGTTTCTGTTATGAACAGCAATGCATGTTTCGGTTAATTTTCTGAAGTCTAAACCCAATCCTGAAAATCCTAGACTTAGGACCTGTCTGGGCATGTTTTAACATTTCACTTAGGATTTGTCGTGATTGTACTCAGGTAAAAGTGATGATAATTTATGCTTCTTATATTTTTAATGGGTAGTTTTCATTCTAAACATTAAGTGCTCTTGGAAGGAAATTGGGAAATAGGTGTTGAAAGAGAAGATAGGAAAAGGAATCATCCTAATGCCCTACTAACCAAGCTCAGTGATATTTTTAATAGGCTGGTGTATTTCCTCCCACTGTTTTCCATTTATATGGAAATATCAATTTCTTTTACCTATTTTTGTAACCACACATGCATGACACTACATAGACAGTTTTCCTCTTTCTAGGATTCAGGATATCATGTTAATGAAATTGAAGTTGTACATTGAAAATGCTTAATAAACAATTGAATTTCCTCTAACTTCTACTCTGCAAGGAGTTATTCCAAAGAATATTAAGCTGTACTGGTGTGTATAATTCCTTTAAAGGATCGATATGTTTGGTTTAGGAGCTAGTAGAGTAGATAGTGATCATTTAGTTCCAACTTTTCCTGAAGTCTGTGTGATTGTTGATAGGCTTATATGGTTGATTTGTCAGTTTCTAAACCCCTTCTATCAAGGGACTCATCATTTTTAAGTGACAAAAGTCTAAAAGTTAACCTTAACACCTTAATGATGAAAAGTGACTAGAGCTCTGTGTCAGGTCAGCCATTTGTATTAGACTTATCCATAGTTGTTTATGATTTGGGGTGATAGCATTCAATTTTGTTTTGTTTTTGATATATGCCAACAAGTATAGAATGTTCCCAGGACCCCACAGAAAAGGTGAACTTCATTTGGAAGTGGGAAGGTAGGAGGTTGGAGTATGAGAAAGTAGTATCATCTTAATGACTTAATTTAGCCCTGACCTTATGTCCTGGGCTGTTCCCAGCATGTCAATTTATATTAAATTGCTCTGAGCACATTTCTTCGTATGTTTTATGAAAAATTTTCACCTCCATCTCTTAAATGGAATTAGGCAAGAATGTTTATATAAACACTTTAGATGTGTTTGATACAGAATGTTTATTTCTTTGTAGATCCAGAAAAGTCCAGAAATGATGCAATGGAAGTACAAGTGAATGGGAATCTTATCAGAGAACCTGAAGAGGTGGAATTGGAAGAGGATGAAGATAAGACTGGACAACTTAACATGCGTGGAGTTTTTCTGCATGTCTTTGGAGATGCTTTGGGTTCAGTGATTGTGGTAGTAAATGCCTTAGTCTTTTACTTTAATTGGAAAGGTTGTCCTGAAGGGGAGATTTGTGTGAACCCGTGTATACCTGACCCCTGCAAAGCATTTGTAGAATTAGTTAATAGTACTCAGGCAACAGTTCAAGAGGCTGGTCCTTGCTGGGTACTATATTTAGATCCAACTCTTTGTATTGTAATGGTTTGTATACTTCTTTACACAACTTATCCATTGCTTAAGGAGTCTGCTCTTATTCTTCTCCAAACTGTTCCTAAACAAATTGATATCAAAAATTTGATAAAAGAACTTCGAAATGTTGAAGGAGTTGAGGAAGTTCATGAATTACATGTTTGGCAGCTTGCTGGAAGCAGAATCATTGCCACTGCTCACATAAAATGTGAAGACCCGACATCATACATGCAGGTGGCTAAGATCATTAAAGACGTTTTCCATAATCACGGAATTCACGCTACCACCATTCAGCCTGAATTTGCTAGTGTAGGCTCTAAGTCAAGTGTAGTCCCGTGTGAACTTGCCTGCAGAACTCAGTGTGCTTTGAAGCAATGTTGTGGGACACGGCCACAAGCCCAGTCTGGAAAGGATGCAGAAAAGGCCCCATCAGTTAGCATTTCTTGTTTAGAACTTAGTGACAATCTAGAGAAGCAGCCCAAGAGGACTAAAGTTGAAAACATCCCTGCTGTTGTGATAGAGATTAAAAAAATGCCAAACAAACAACCTGAATCATCTTTGTGAGTCTTGAAAAAGATGTGATGTTTGACTTTTGCTTTAAACTGCAAGAGGAAAAAAGACTCCATTGAAATTCTATGTTTGCCAAGTAGTGTAATTGAAGTCCTTGTCTGGTCACACAGTTTAATTCTATTTTTGTAAGAACATAATGGGACTGCTTAACAGAGTTCTATATTACAACTTTGTGATTTATTAGTGCAGAGTACAGCTATGCTGTAACAGTTTTGGAAAGCCAGTTTTAACACTATGTTACATTTTTGTTTTAAGTATAAACCTTATATAACATAATGCTATTTGATTTCCAGTTTTTCAATGGTAAAAAACTAATTAGGGGGATAAATAAATTGTTACTGGAATTTCTCTGCTTTTCTTTTCCCCCAGTGTTATATTTTGTTTGTTAGAATTATAATTGCTAGAACTCTAAAAATCAACAGGTCTGTTTCCTTTGATGTTTTATGTAATATTTACTTGCCCTTTGAGATCATTACATAGCATAATGACAGCATATTTTAAGAATGACTCATGAATATTATTAGGAAAAGTTCTTTTTTTTCTTCACATGGGGTTTTATGATACTGAAGATCAGTTACTACTCTGTATCCTATGTTGCTGAGTATTATTCTAATAAACAGATAATTAAATTGAACTAGTGTACCTATAATAGGGCATATGGGCAGTAAGAGCAGGGAAGGAAGTTTTACCAAATTAAATATTTATATTCTTGTAAGTTAATAATCAGACTACATATCTAAATTATTCTGAGAATTTTAACTTTAAAAACAAAACAAAACAAAGGTAGCCTGAAAGATGGATATGTTCACCAGCATTACTTTCTTTGAAAGATTGGCATTAGAAACAGAGTTGAAAGTTTACTCATAAAATATATATGATAAATATTTTGAAGACTGTTTAATTTAATCTAATAATTAGATGTTAAATGAAAGCTTATTAATCTAATCTTTTAAATTGTGAGTTTTAAAAATAACTTCGGAGTCATTTCACAGTGACCAGTCATGAATGGATTCAAGCAGCTTTTTGAGCCCAACCAGCAATGCTTGTGCTTTGCCAAGAGCCATTGACTTGAGAGAAAAACCTGAAGGTTAATGCAGTTTGGATATTAAACTGTCAAAAAGCAAAATTAGTTAAGACAAGTCATTCTGTCTTGACATTGCTTAGACCTTCCAATAGTGGCTTATTTTGCAAGATGTCTTAGTATCTATACAGGAAACTGTTTTTGGCTATTTCATTGTTCGTATGGATTTCAAATCCATACACAAATATTATTTAAGGGTATTTAAGTTATATTTTTCTGATAGAGAGGGATTATGCTTTGTGAAGAAACTAGATTTTTGTCCTCAAAAGGATGAATATTAATATCAGTTATCATGTATAGCTCTATTTTTCTAGAAACAAGGTATCCTGACTACTTTAGTACCTTTTATAGCTGACTACTTTGGGGATGGCTACCTTTGGGGATTTGAAATAATTCATTGTTTAGTGGGTCTTAAGATGAAAACGTTGGCATTTGACAGTTAACTTTTTAAAGGGACGATCTTTTGTGGTAGACAGTGTGATTTTTTTCCTAGTATAAGCCTGTTGCTGGCAATGGGCCTGTTTAAGAACACCCGATTTTTCCATTGAGAATGAGGTAATTTTAGGAACACAGTTTGTAAGTTCATATTTACTATATTGGGCCAAAACCATAACCTGCCAATTTGCAATACATCTTTATCATTTAATACTCTTCTGATATTATATATTTCAATTCCTAAACTGGTAGTTACTTGAAATTTTGCAAACATTTTTTTAAAACATGAAATTGGGGGAATTTCATATGAGTGAACAAGAGAAAGCTTCAAATTATATCATGTACATTCTTGATTTACCA